GAACCCCGGGCCACTGAAGTGGAACACGCAAACTTAACCACTATGTCACTGGGGCAGCCCCGATTCTTTAGTGATTTTTTTCCCCTCTTTTTTATTTTCAGATCATTTCTTTACAATGTGGAACTCAAGCAAGCACTGTAACCAAGTCATGGCTCTTAAATAATCTCAGAGTCAAGTCAAGTCATACAGCTTTCTGACGTCTATTAAATGTAATCGTTAGAAGTCTAAAAGACATTATTTCATCAACATTATTTCAGTTTGAACCAGTTTAAGAGCCTACACACTTAAGACTTAAGCCATAGCAGTTCATTCACATATTTCATAATATGTCTCATTTTCTGAACAAAGGATTAACAACTTGAATGTAAGAAGCAGGTGTGAGCACTCTTGATGGGTCAAAACCTTAACACTGCCCAGACAAGTCTATAATTTCTGGGCACAGGGCATGGCATGCGTGAATTTTCTTTCAATATGTTTTCCATAGCGATAGCTTAGAAAGTCACACAGCCATATCCTACCCAGGCTTCCATTCCTAGCGGCAGAAGCATTTGCTGATGATTGAAAGGTCATGCAAAACAGATGTGAGGGCAGCTGGATTTTCCAGCTATGCTTCAGTGGACTTAGCAGCAGTGCCTGCCATTGCCAAACAGCAGAGAGATTTTATTTCAACTGAGTAAAAAAAGAATCTTAGGCAACCTTGTCAGTATAATTGGCCGTATATGCAGTTTCTCCCTCAGGTCTCACCTTTTCCACCTTCCACTCTTCAGACTCTCGGACTGGACCTAACTTCATCACACTGCACGGTAACAATGAACTAGGTGTCAACCATCCTGACCTGTTTTCCAACATCTTTTAAATAGGTATTCTTGACCTCTGTGTCCGGAAGTAATTTCAATTGCATTTCCTGTAGCTTTCTCATTTGTTTGGTATCATATTTGGTATTATCTACACTTCAAACCAACTTACTCCCATTATTCCTGCACATCTTTAAAACAGCAAAAACACAAAGAACAGCAAATGGTGCATTGCAGAGAGGGCTCAACCACGTCACATATACCCATGCAGAACAGATGGTCCAATTGCAAACCTCCCAAATATTGACATCTGTGTGGCATGCAAGTGTACAAGTCAGATAGACGCAGCTTTTAAGTTTTATATATTCTATCAAAATTAAGTAATTCATAAATCTGCATTTTACTAACTGAATATATAGGAATTGTCCCTTATTAATAAAAGGGACTCTAGGACAATGTGGATGAAATAGTAAATTTTGTTTCTATTAGAAGTCTAAGTCTCAGATTTGCCAGTAACTGACCATGCTTTTAGAGAATCATCTCTCTGAGTTTTCATCTTCTCTTCTCTAATATGTGGGTTTAAAATACTTGACTCTCAGACTTGCTCCCATTAATGGAAGCTTACAGGGTTTAGTGTACTCTGGTGTACCAGATGAGATAATACACCACACAAATTACAATGACTATTCAACAAATATAAATTATTATTATAGATCCACTGGGCTTGATTCTTCATGGTTTAGTTTATTGTGAAGGGGAAATTGCTAATCTCTTTGCTTTCTATTACTGAATATGAAAAAAATCTACTTTTCTACATGATAGGAGTTCAGGTTTATACAGAAAAACTTCTATTAAGTAACACAAACCTTCAGTTAAGAATGTTTTACTCATTTTAACTGTAGGAAAAGCATTACAGTATAATAAAATGAACTCACTACAAAAACTCTTTGGTTATGTCTTACGATAGATCCAACTAAATTTCTGAAATATTCAGAACTGTTCAATTATACTGGAAGTTTAGAGCGCAGACCTTGAAAAACACAATCAATGCAGCATTGTGTTTACTTTGCATACTGAAGGTGTAATAATTATCAGAGGATTTGGACAACAAAGAATGAAGTTAGGAGAATTTCATGTTTGACTTTCCAATTCACCATCAATATGCATTGGTGGTCTGGATAATGGAGGTTTCAATTTAGTTAGGACTCTAAAGGTTTTGTTTTGTACTCAGATGTGCCAATTATCAACTGACTGATTTTTGGTTCCAAACGTCCCCCTGAGCACCTGCTCTGTGAGAGTGGACTGGACTCTTGAAGCGTTTCTCCTATAGGGAGCACAGTGTCAAGCTTTGTTGACCGTCAGCCAAGGAAGCCAAAGGAATGGTGCAGAAATAAACGGCTGCTCTTCCTGGTTCCAGGTGCCGCGTTTGCTTTCCCTCGCTCCAGCTGGATGGTCCGTCTGCGGTGCCCGTGTTCGGAGACATCTGGTGGAGCTCGGCCCCAGCTGTGCATCCAGAGTGCATGGTCCCTTGGTGACTTTATTCCCTGGCCTAGGCCGGGTGACCACCTGGTGCCACAGCCTTCTCAAAGTGGATACTGTGTATTCCAGGCCTCACGCCCACAGCAGGACCCCAACTCCCTTGCACACCCACACACCAACCTTAGCTTACCTGTATTCCAGAGGGTGGTTTCCCTGTCGAAGCAACTGAGGACCAACTCTGGCCTCAGCAACCCAGAGAACTTGTCCCTGGGGGCTGCAAACATGGTTTTGCCAACAAGGTCTGACCCTCAGCCACGGGGAGGGGGCCTCCTTCGAAGGCTGTCCTTCCTCGGGTCCTCTCCCTTGGCCCTAGGTTACCCTTTAGAGTTCTCTTTATATTTTCATGGTTGCTCTCCTCTCACAGCTTAACAATTCTTTATACTAAACTTCTCCTGTTAAGTTACTGTGTGATTTCTGTCTCATGATGGGACCCAGTCTGACCCACCAGGAGTAATCAAACACATTTTTCCCCCTAAGCTCTAATTCATACTCTCAACCTCTACTCTATGTTGACGTTAGAGATCAGCTAGAACTTCCTGACTATTCAGGCAGGAGAAATCTATAATGGATTCACATCGTTGATTTCTCTCTCTCCTCGGGGCACAAGCACAGGCTTCGCTTCAGTGCTTCTCAGCTTGCTTATTAAATTCATTTTTATTTCAAGCATTTATAATGGTACCAGAAAAATTATTAAACAGTAGCATAATAATTTAACAGAGCAGAATGAATGGTAAGTTTCAGTTGATGAAGCCAGGATTAATTTAACTTCTATTTCAAAGTTCATCCCTGAAAAGCTCATGGATTCTTTTGCTGTCCATTTCATTCAACTAAGGAGGCTTGAGACTCAAGGGACAGAGAAAGCTCCAGGGTCAGATGACATCAATATAGGGTCACCTAAGCAAAGATTTTTATTTACACAAAAACTAATATTGGTATGATAAGTCACTGAAGTTCAATTTACTTTCCTATTTACCAAGGGAGCAATTTGGCATATCAGCAATACACTACATGAAAAAAAAATCAAAAGACACCTCTGAAGATATTATAGTCTACTAAAATACTTTACACAAACAATGGTACTTTTGAGTAAGTGCTTAGAGAATAGCACCAGCTGTGTGTGCTTTACAAGCAAAAGAAAAAAAGAAAAAAGGAAAGAAAAAACAAACCTAAGTATATTTGAACTAGAGAGCAAATATGACAATTTAGAACATGAAGATGAAAAACTAATTTGGAACCCAATCATTAAACAGAAAACTTTGTCCTTTGAAACATGGATGCATTAGGGACCACGTCAATCAGTTCACGGAGCTGGCACAGAAGTCGTTTTCCTTGGGAACTATATTTGCCTGAAGAGAAAGTGAAAAATTATACTCTCTGTGAATTCTAAATTGTTTAATTTTTCTCCCTGAGGTCAGTGATCAGTGGTTTTCTGACATGGAAATGTTTTATTCTTCTACACTAAGCAACGGCTCCAAGTTTCATTGTATGTGATTACACGCAGTCACAGACATAGGAGAAAAATTTCCTTCTTGGCAAACTTGCCTTTAATAGGGCTCCCTCAGTGCTCTGCCATTAGTGCCAATCACCAAGCACTAAGCACGCCATGCTTTTCCCCAACTCTGTGTTCAAGGTGTGGAGGCCACACCTTTCTTATTAATCATTGATGTAATCTTGCCACCTACTCAGACAGCTCCTAAATCACTGACTAAAGAGCAAAAGGTCAGTAATATAATACCATAGACGACTGAGTTGTTCTAAATTCTCTTCATAAAGCGAACAGTTGAACGAATCAGACACTTGCCACATTGAAAACACTATGCATGTCTCCTAAGTATGATAAACACACAGGCGACTTTTGACTTTTGGGGGGAAAGGGATTCTTTCACAAACGTTTGGGCTTCGTGCTTCTTGACTTAAATGCTCTCATTCATAAGAACAACACAGAACTGCATCAGTCTGCGACTTCTCTTGGGCAGCCATGGGTCCCGGCCCCTTTCCTCTGTTAAATTTTAAATACTGCAAAGGAACCATTTTCCCTGTGAGGCTCCCACACTTGGGATGAAACCTCCTCTGCGGAATTTTGGCACCCTATTAATTAGCAGTTATGAGTGGGAGCTGCTCTCTCTCAGCAACTCCTATTCTGCCATCAGTCAAGTGTGATTCTGTAATAAATTCCCACGAAGCAAACTATTTCTGGTAATTCTCCCTAATTAACACCAGGCCCGCTAATAATACATCAGTCTCTACGTGTTTCTGATATAACCAAGATCTTGTCTGAGAGTACTCCAAGAGGGAAACCGCCAACCTAAATTAAGCTTTTGCTGGCAAAAAGGATTTTATATATAGTTCTGTAAGAAAACCTTTGATAATCTTATACTGGGGAGGTTTTGAGCAGAAAGCATTGAATGACAGCGAGGCTTGTTCAGGTCTGAGCACTGAATGGGGGTTTACTGTGAACACACGCTGTTGAGTCTTACGCCTATAAATCTTGTCCTGGATTACTGTTTCTTAACGAAGGAATGACAGATCTCTTATTTTGTCGGTGCATTTTAATGTGCAATGACGTGATTGATAGAAACCAAACAGCAGCTATTAAAATGTCAGATGCCGACTTGATGCTCTTATAAGTTTGGCTTCTGGAGTTTAATATACTGTGAGCAAATAGACTTGAATTTTTGTTTTATTTCCAATATATAGTCTGCAACAGAAACATTTCCTCTTAACTTTATACAGTTGGGAAAAAATCTTACTCAAGTCAATAAACAAACGAGGAATAGGTGGGCCGACCTAGTTACAGAAAAGTGAGCTAATGAGATCAGGATGAGTTAAGCAGGAAGTAACATACTGTGGCCAACGAAAAATGTAGACGGGGACTTAGGTTGTTTGAATACGATATACAATATATTGCTTGATATAACAGGTTATTCCAATGAATAATTTCAGCAACAAATATTTTTTAAAAGACAATAGAGCTTATTTATCTATTAATTCACAAAGATTTATTGTGTACCTATTACATGAAGAACATAAAAATGAATTAAAGTAGAATAAATGTGGCAGTATTTTCAAATGTGTTTTTTCTGAGACATTTTGATAAGCAAAGGTCATAGAAGACGGAGTCTTCTAAGAATAATTCCTCTCATCCTATTCTGTGAACATGACTTCTTCCCATGATGACTTCATGGAAACTACCGGCTACCAATCCCCTGCCCCCCAAAAACACCCCAGGAGAGCTCGGGTACATCACTGCAGCCGTTTATTTATTATGTGTACATCAAGGCGTTACTATACTGATTATATTTCTCATGTGGTTTTTAATTAGAAAATGTATCCAAAAGCAATACAGCACAGACAGATACAAACCTAAAAACTTAAAGAAACAGAAGACAGAGATTAATATTAATGATACATTGAGAATCCAAACCCAATACCCTACATCTGGGGGATGGAGGGGCACAAACTGAAGCCACATTAGATTTGCGTAACACGAGTCAGTACATTTTCCCTTCCCTGATGTCTGAAAAGCCTCTCCTTCCAATAGGGATGACCAAACTCCAAACATCACAAAAATTACCAGAACACAAGATTCACACTTGAGCAGGGGGAGGCGGGAATTATTGTCTATAAAACTGGTTCTCATATAGTCCCCTTGAAAATGGTACCAAGAACACATTTCTGTTGTAGATAATTTTTAAATATAACGCTGCACTAATATTTTCAAGATTTAAACTCTTATTTTTATTTATCGTAATACTGTGATCAAATGATTAGGTTTTAGTTTTTGACTCTAAATGTAACGTGAATCAGTAGGAAACATGTATGCTGCTGCAAGCATAAGCAGGGAGCATCACTCTTAGGCTGCTACCTTAGCGGGCAACATTCAGTCCTTGCAAGTCTAGAGAAATGTTCTAAATCTCAACCTATCACTGAATTTGGAAATTGAGAAATCCAGGTAGGGGGTGTTTAAGAGTCACGTACTGTGATTTTAATCCATATCATACTGAGTACAGCACTCCAAAATATACATCCAGAGAGACTAAAAGTAAATGCTCTATAGCAAAGAGGTAATAATTAGAAAAATACTACTGACATGGAATATTTATAATAAGAAAAATAAATACTCAGGGAGCTCACCAGAAGAATAAAGTGCTCTGCCAGTTATTAAAAGATTAATGCTGGTGTATTGAATATGGCGTTCCCCACTGGAAAATACAGAGATTCTTCTGGGTTATAATCAGTATGTGTTTCACAGGATTAACTGGTTTGGAGCAGATAAAGCTTTGCCACAGAAGAGGAGGACAAAGCGCAAAGACAAAATGATAAATTAGGAAGCAACGTTACCCTTTTAGGGATAAAATTTAGAGAAATGCAACATTACGCTCCACAAATAATACATAGAAAAGTCTAATAAAAATGATATCCTTAATGTAAGATAATTTTGTAAGAAATCCAGGTCAAATAAAATTCTTTGAAGGAAATACCCAAATGCCATTGACTTATCAAATACTATCTTGGCATATAATCTATAAAGGCAAAACTAAATAACAAAAAAAAAATCTCTACCACACCAAAACAAAACCCCCAACTTCTTTTATTATTGTATAAGCAACAGACTGACACTGAGACACGTGACAGTCCACGTCAGCCAGCACGTCTTCCCAGGGTGCTTTCAGCAGCAATGAGAAATAACGCACGATTCAGTCCCAGCACTTCAAAAACACCGTCCTGCCTCCCTCCACAACGGAGGGGAGGCGGGAGCTGGGATTGCCACTGGTGACGCATTCACTTTGCCACTTTGAGAAGGGGGACACCTTCTCATTCCTTTATCCCCAGTTAACTATTATCTGCATATAATATTAATCTGCTAGACCATAAATTAACAGCTTTCAGGATAGATGCCTTGGGAAGTTCTTAGGGAGGTTAAACAAATAGCTTAGCTAAGCCCTCCCTCCACAACAAACACGCACACAATGGAGGTGAAAGGTCACTGAGGATGGGGCAGGAAGGACCTGGGGCTCTGTCTCAACTTTAAAAGCACCTTGCCCCAAACAGATTTAAATTATAACTCAGTGCGATCCTGGGCTTTCATCCATTCTGGAAACAAAGAGAAAACTATCAAATGCCACCATCTCTTTTCTCACTGGGCAAACAGGATCCGTGATTTTGCCATAATTGTTTTTCTGTCTTCATGTGGTTATCTACATAACTTTTCTCCTCCAATGAAGAAAAGAAATAATGGGCCAGTCTGAGTTATTAATCATATTCCCCTCTCAGACGACCAAACCCCTGTGAAGAAAACTTTCCAAACTCGGTGATCACATTCAGGAAGTGGTTCACTTATTACTGAGAGAGAAGGACCAAAAACAAAATCTAGATTTTATCATATCCCCAAGCCCATCTTTTATTTTTCTAATGTAGAATCAAAGAAAAAGAATTATTCTGCAAAGAGAGCTCTCAAACCTTCATCGGTCAGTACATAACTCTGAAACTCATCTAACGGATTCACTGTCCAAAAAGGGGGAATTTTTAAAACTTCTGGATCCAATCCTCTGATTGACCATAATTCCCAACCACATTCTTTTCTACTTATTCTCTTTAAAGAGAGAGAAAACTGTCAGAGTCCAAAGTCATTCAATTAGCTCTTTATCGCAACATGAGGGAAGGGAAAACATTTAAATGGAGTTCGACTAATACAGGTGATAAAACATACACAATGAATAGAAACATCCGTATTTTAGTAAAAAGCAAAAATTTGAGATTTATAAGCTATATGGTGGCTTTTTAGGGGAGGGGGATGAGAGAAAAATATAACATCTCTTATTAACATGACACATTTTGATCAAAAATCTCATTGTCCTTTCCTACTGGAATGATCAACTGTAAAACAAAAACAAAATGTACACACAATGTTTAAAAAACTGACACCTACCACTGGTAAAATTCTCTGTTTAAATTCCTATTTACTGCTATAAAGATAAACACCATTTAAAAAAAAATACTACGTTTCACTTATTGATAAAGTGTAAGGCATCTTCATTGCCTTTTACAGATTTGCTCATCACTACCTAACAAGGAAAGAAAGTATAATTATTTCAGCATAGAGGTTGGAGGTTTTTATTCTAAAATTTAATTCTTCATTAATTAATTCTAAGATGAATTTAATAGTCAACCAGGAAGTTGATTTTTATAAAAGTTATTTTATGGGCAGAAAATACAGAAAAAAGTAATAATAAAAGCCAAACTGTCTCTTTACTTTACAAAGCCAAATACTTCCTCATAGACTTGGTTTTTAAAGCTGGAATTCATCCCTTCAGGGCCACTATTATTTTTCAAAATTCCATATAAATATTAAATCTAAAAACTAATTTGTAATTTTAATTCTCCTCTTTCTCTTTAAATTTCTTCTCATCTCCTGAACTGTTGACTTTCAAAAATTCACAGAATGAGCATGTTTCTTGCAAAGTGGCTTGTCCTTCTTGGAGAAAAAGGTCTGACCTTCCAAACTTTCACAACATACCTGAAAAAGAAGCATTATTCAAGGGAATATCATTATTTTATCACTTATACACAAGAAGGGGAAAATGATTTTTCACCCAACAGACAATATGACAAATCACTTCAGTTGGCTGTATTAGACACCTAAGCATTTCACAGTTACTACGATATTTCATGTAACCCTTCAAAAGCAAGAATGAATGACTTTTTCCTGGAATGCACTCTAATTTATTTAAGTCACTGATCATTATTTTTCTTTACTGGGAGTGAAGCACTTAGCCCTAATGAAAAAATTAACACATAAAGAGGTCACATTAAATATAATTTCTGTTCCCAAATTCTAATCAATGCTTTAAATCTGCCTCCTGTTGTAGAGAGCCAAAGCATTCAAAAAGAAAACACAATGTGGCTTTGCCAAATGTTCCCAAGCCCCCAAATACACAGGTACAGGATACCTGAGATTTCTTTTTAATTAATTTCTTTGTTTCTTAGAGTGAAAACCCTGGTCAACATCTGGTTGCCGGATGATTACACAGTCAGTTAACTATCCACTTTTATGTCTTCTTGTCTCTCCTACTGCCTTTGTTAATTATAATGCTCGTGAGCAGCTCTACCAGAGAAAGAAGGCAAATCCACTAAAAGCTGTTACTTTTTATGGATTTTACAAAGTCCAAGAGATGGATGAGATAAATAATGGTAACGTTTGGGGAAATCATTCAACTTCAATTAACATGACTTTTTTCCTGTCATACAATGAGTATTGAAAAATATTAGATTAACTCTAATAAAAAAATAAAACATCTAAACAGAGTAACTTTACTGGATATTTACTTTCTAAATTAAAAAATACACATCTTAGGTTAATGTTAATCTCTGAATCTATCATTATATTAAAAATAAAACCAAAAATATTAAAGTATCAAATGAAGTAGGTAAATATATTACTATATATTTATTATAGTCTCAAAAAGAAAAGAATATTCATGGACTATTGCTAAGGAAGGAAATGGATCAACATACAATTTACTTCCAGTGTTTATTCAATAATAGATTTTTATAATTGTTTATCTCTATTTCAAGAATTACATATGTTTCCAAAAATTACTAAAACATTCCAATAAAACAGTTTTAAAAAAAGTAAAGGACTTTTCTGTTTTAAGAAATATATAGCTTCTCCTTATAAACAAAAATGTATTAAAAATAGGATTTTCTCTAAAGGGGTAGGCATCTTATTCTGCACCAAATAATTTCAAAAGGCGCCAAAAATTCTCATAAACAACTTTCACAATCACTGTAGAAATATTTTTAGGTTTGAAGGACTGAAAGATACTGTTATTGCCACTTCATGGTTAGGCTAGAACGGGCCACACTAAGCCACTTTAATCTGGAAATAGGAGTTTACTTACTGAGCACACGAAGCAAGTGTCATGCCAGGTAGAGCCCAGAGCTTCCAGAAACATGTCGCCAGCTTCTATGGGAAACTCACACCCACGGCATATGGTACCAAAGAGGGCGTAGTAATCTGCAATGGGGGCAGGGGTGTGGGAGACATAATGTAAACACGGCAAAGCTTTAGAATGATAGTTCCTAGAAAGCAGCCACAACTTAGAATTAAGGGAGGTGATGAGGGTAAAGTTAGTAGTAACTGGAAAACTTTCAGATGGCGTAATATTTGGTTTGAGATATATGTACAGCATATTTCAGGTTACCCCGGTAAGCGTTATTTACACAACTTAACATCTTTTATTATATTTTTCCATTTTTCTCATTTCTCTCCAACTACTTAAACACCCAAATACATATGAAGAACAACACTCTTCGATAAGTTAACAACAGATATGACTGTTTCAACAAAATACAAGAGAACTTCCAATAACTAGCAACAATAAGGTTAATGAACTTAAGTCAAGAAGAAATATCTGATTTTAGCAAATTTCACAGTGAATCTGACCTGGTAAGGGGAAAAAAAAGTCACAGGAAACTTCCATGAATAAGTGCCATGACTGAGTTTCTAGCTGGACTGTAACACAACAGTATTAGCCACTTTTTTTGTTTGCTGTATTTTCTTTTCAATTTTATGACTTTATGCTGAAAATCCTTAACCAGAGAACACCACTTACTAGACACAGATCACAGGTTTATAAAATACTAATAGGATTTCCTTCTGAAGAAAGCAGTTTTGACAGGACGTTTCTTTACTATTACTCAATTAGAACTCATCAGCATTTTTATTTTCTTTTTTGTGGCTACTCTCACTACTTGTGTTACTCATGGGCCGCCAAAGTGGAACATGCGAACTTAACCACTGTGCCATCAGGCTGGTTTCAATTTTCGGTTTTAAAAAATATGACTTCTTAGGCTACATTAAATGTGATACTAAGGCTAGATAGGTTATATGTGTTTTGGCTAGATAGAGGCTATCTGCCAGTTAGCCAAAAGGTCTTGCAAAGCTTCTAAAACAAACAGCTCTTTCTTAAAAGAATTAAGTGAATTACAAAATGTGAAATATTCTGGTTGAATCAGGGTAGGTAACTTGTAGCCAGCCTGTCCCAAAATGGCCCATGGGATAGTTCACTGGAATTTCCATAGGGTTTCCTGGGATCTGGTATGGCATAGATCTAGACTGGCCCTAACTAAGGAGCTAAAAGAAACGTGAAAATAAGAAAATATTGAATGGGCAAAGAGGGGTTGAGGGATTTTCAATTTTTTTTTTTTTTTTTTTTTTTTTTTGGTGAGGAAGAGTGGCCCTGAGCTAACATTGGTGCCAATCTTCCTCTATTTCGTATAAGGGATGCCGCCACAGCATGGCTCAATGAGCATGTGTGTAGGTCTGCGCCCAGGAGCTGAACCTATGAACCCTGGGCCACTGAAGCAGAGTGCGTGAACTTAACTGTGGTGCCACTGAGCCAGCCCCTAATTTTCAATTTTGAATCTCAAGGTAGAACAACAATAAAACTCCACAGTGGGAAAGCAGCGGTAGCGAGGTGGGGCATGATAAAGGAAAAACATTTTATTTTTTGAACTAGATCTGCATGGTAGTAATATCTAAGTAAGGGTAATATTAACAAATAAGTGTTATGAAAGGTCACTTACAGCCTTTGGGAAGGAAAAGGAAATGTTCAGAGGTTAGGTAATAAGACAAATGTAGTAGTCTGGTCCTTAGAGCCTAGTTTATTAAAAACAATTTCACCAAGAAGCAATCCATGCCAGAATTACCCTCTCATTCAGGAACAGTAACAAAGGATTTCCAATTTATTGTCAAGACAGTTGCTCTAAAGAGAAATCAATATCCTGTTCAAAAGTTGAACATTTCTCATGTTTATAACCACTGAAAATTCACTAATGGAGTGTAAGAGATGGCTTCAACCTGCACGATTTGGTAGAATTTATATCCATAAATTATTGGAATTCAAGCAACATATTTTTCTAAGTAATGCTTACATGCTCACTTCTCTTAATGACGTTGGGAACATGTTTTGACAAAGTCACATAAAAATTTTACATAGTTTTTTGCTATATATTTAGACTAACATTAAATGCTCCTAAGATAATTAGGGAAACTATTTTGCCTAGTATTTCCTTTGAACTTTATAGCAATATAAGGGTTAATGTTTTATCTTTATTCAAAATGTAAGAAACGAACGGCTTCAGGACCTTACCAGTCTCACAGTAGGGTTCGCCATCCTCCAAGTGGAAAACATTGTTACGGATGGGTTTTCCACAGGCCACACACACGAAACAGGAAACATGCCAAGTTTGTTTCAAGGCATTGATGACTTCCTGTTACAGAAAGGTAATTGGATGTAAAGAAAGAAGACAATACACCAGTGCTTATTCTACTAATGGGACCAATATACCCTTTTAAAGGGACCCAAAGTAGACACACAGGCTGTGTCTTTGCCTTGAGCTTTTCATCTAAGTAACAGGAGATACTTAACGAGAGACTCACCAATCATCTAAACTGATGCACTATATAATAGTAAACTTATTTAAAGAATGATTACTGTGGTATTTAAACATTATACATGTGGTAAATAAAGTAAGCTGCAACACATTCTGCTTTCTCTCAAAAGGGTGTCAGGAAACATTAACTTATAAAGGTTTCATAGTTATATCTTGAAAATGTCATGGAGGAAGGGCAAAACATTTAAAAACTAAAACAAACCTATACTTTGGTGCATTATGGAAGCAATAACATAATCAGTGTAATCCAATCAGCTTAACACGTGTTTAGATTTGGGAAACCAGCTGTGACTGCACTAAGCACACGCTCAAATGAGTGTCTAAAATTTGAACCATAACGCATGGATTCCAGTCAACAACGGCCCTATGGGTAAACAGACCAAGCTTCAAAGACTTGGGCCAGATTTTAATTAGGAAAAGAAGTTTTGGGAAGTTGATTTTGCAAGGAATCATTTCTTTAGGTTGAGAGAGATGGAGCCATTAAAAATCATTTTGAAGAATAGTTAATAAATTATTTCCATAACATTTATTACAAAAAAAGAGGATGCTATACATAAAGTATGGTTACAATTTTCTAAATGAATTACTTACAAAGAGCAAACTGGAAGAAAATACATCCTAAGGTTAACAGGAATTATCTGGGATTGGTAAATGTATAGGTCATTTTAATTTTATTCTTTACATTTTTTGTATTTTCTAATTGTTGTAGAGTGAAATATTTTCTTTTATAATAAAAAAATCATCAAAAGAAAATAAAGTGATATGCAATAAGTCATTAGCTAAAGAAAATGCCATAGTTCACTACTAAAGGACAAGAGGAAGAAATGACAGTTGTGCAGATCCGAAAAGATCACCATGAACATGTACAACAAACGTACAGTGAGTCCAATCATTTCCCAAGGCTTCCAGAATGCACTTCCTTTCTATCCTCGAGAAGATTACCATGCCTTCTTCAGTAGGCAAGCAAACCACCAGAACACAATCCAGAGAATCTGTCCCTTCAGTGAAGTTCTGGTCTATCTCTAAAGCAATGAGCTAAGGCCCACTTCCTAGACCCTCATTTGCTTCTAAGAGGTTTACCTGACTTTGTTTTACTAATTACTCTAGAATCCACAGAAAACTTTTATATACTAAAACAGTATTAATATATATTCTACTTATGAATTATTTGTCATTTGGGAAGGAACAGCCTGAATTATTCTACTCTTTTGTTACCAACATGTTGTACAAATTAATAATACAGAAATATTTCATGTGGTGTATTTATAATTTAAGTGTCCTCAAAGTTTTGGACCCATTTAAAGATGGGTCCTAATTTCTAAAATTAAGACTACTCAATAATTCATACTAACTTTTCTCTCAACTGATATGAATTAGAGTTTCATTATTATATTTTCATATTGAGAATATTACAATTCAGCAATACCATTTTCAACTTCTGTATGAGTTTTGTATGAGACCACGCATTTTTGGCTGCTTCTAAAAAAAAAAATTCCAACTCCTGGTCACCCATAGGAAATGCCTAACCCTTACTTTGTAGATGCAAACTGGGTATTCCAGAGCAGGAAATTCATTCATTCATCATTATTTATTATGATTCTGACTCCTAAATGACTTCCTTCTTGCAAAAAAAAAAAAAAAAGGTGTGGTTTGATTATTTTTCTATCACATGTACACTCTCATAAAACTGAGGTTATATTTTTAAACATTATATGCATTCAAGAAAAATATCATTTATAAGCCTCATGTTTTATGTATTTCATGAGATCTGTGCCCTGTGCCTGAACTCTGACAAATGGGGGAACACTGCTCTTATAAAAGCTATGGAATTTAATTTAAAACAGTGGAGGTGTCAGTTCTGAGAACTCTGATGTGTGTGGTCCTGTGCGACCTCCTCATTCCTGAGCAAACAGGGTCCTGTTGAGGTGGCACACCCGCAGTAAATTATTTTTTCCCCACAGTGGTTAGACTTTCACTAGACAAACCAGCCCTCAGTAAGACAAAACCAAAGACAACTTAACCCCAGGAGTCCGATATACTTCGACAGAGGTCTATTTAGTTTTGCTTTACAATAATAAACAGTGATGAAAGCAGAGAGGGAATCAAGCAAGAAGAAAATAAAAAGTAAAAATGATGGAAGGGTTTCATAACAAAAAATTATCCTGCATGAAAACTCACTCAGAATAAAAAGGTTTCCAATACTTACTCCAAGGATCTTCCTTTGGCATCGACCACATTCAGGAGCAAAGAACTTCTCATAGCAGAGCTCACAATACAGGGCTCCCTTCTCCTCCACAAATCCAATGTAGGCCATCGTATTTTTGCAGTGCGCACAGTTAAATTCTTCCGGGTGCCAAGATTTCCCCAGTGCCACCAGGTATGGTCCCCTGCCGAAGAAAGAGATCAAGTTGGCTCAGGAACAAAAGTTTGTAAAGTGAGCCTGCATAGGACTTCTTTTATGAATGTCCAAACAATTACATACTTGCTCAATTCTCCTTCTCGAGGAGTGAACACATGGGTGCAGTCAATTCACACAGGAACTCTCTGTGCGTTTATGTGAAGAGAAAGGGCAGAGGAGTCAGAGCGCCTAAGGGATTCCTTCAAGAAAGGTCAGCGCCTCCACTTCTTTCTGTCTTCAAAGAGCTGGTGGTTACGTTTTTTGAGCTGCAGTGAGTGATTCTGTCTGTGTCATGAGTATGACTGCGAATGAGGATGTTAACTTGGACAGAAAATGAAGTCACCAGAAAAAAATATATGGCTTATGGAGACCAGAATTTAACATTTTTATAAAATAAACAAAGGAAAAATTTCAATTTGGTAATGTCAGAGGCTTAAAAACAGTAATAATTATTACCTGAGAAAAAATCCTAGTTAACTTCTCTTCCCCACACAAGGTTTCATATACTTATTTCTCAACTTCCTTAAACCCGTCAAATCCTCACCCTCCAAAATGACTACAGAAACTGTAAACTGGATATTAGAGATCGTCTGAAGCTACTTAGAAAGGTTTTATTGAATTCAAACATGACTGACTCTTAATGTACATTTGTATCAAGGTAACGCATTTGTTAAGAGATTTTTTTCCATTAAATACTATACAGTCAGGAACTGATAAGATGGGTTTGGTTTGCTTGACAGGAATCCATTACGAAGCCTTATCTAGTCAGGCAGCCTGCGGAGATGAAGAGTGTAGCCTCGGCAACATACTTTTCAGTAGCTACATCTCATTAATTGTTATTCACAGAGTGGCTTTACCTCCAAGGTACTTTTACACTTATCTAATTTGTCCCTGCAGCACTCCTGTGAGACAGACCAGGGCAGTTTTTATGAACTCCGTTTAACAGACGGAGAAGCTGAGATACGGAACGTTCAAAAGATATGACACGTATCATCAAACCCCTGAGTGAGTGAAGGCCAGAAGCTGACTTTCCTGATTCTAGCATGCTGCTCTAGTCAACCGGCACTGTCTCTGACCTCATGACCACCACTGATCCTCACTGAGTGACCACAGGCTAAGTGTTCGTAAGCCTTGGATGCCTGACTTCTAGGCAGATGTTAACAGGAAAAGTCACAGTAATGAGCATCACAAAGTCAAAGCATTTTTTAGTCTTTGACAATAAACAGTCTTTGGTATTCAGCACCTATTTCCCACTGGGAAATTCCTTGCAAATACATTGATATTTACTCAGAACCAGCACCTAATTCTGCAAGAGTCAAAAAGGCAGAAAGGCTCTTGACGAATGATGAAAACGTGTTCTGTGTGGTCCAAGACGGTGTTTGCTAGCCCCTGTTTTTGTTAACTTGTTTCTTACTAATAATATGATGTCATTTTGTATGAGCTAGTGCATGCAGCTCTCTAAGCATTTAAGACAAGTAGTTTATTATTACTTTTTAAATGTCAGGGTGCTATAGTTTTATTATCACTAACAAGGAATGCCTTTGTTAACCAATTCCTGCCAGGAAAAAAAAATGGCGACAGGTCACCTGTTCTGTAACCAAGTATGTTCCATTCGGCAGGTTGTCCCTCAATTTTTAACTGGTTTATAAATAACAGTCCTACTTAACAAGTGCCTTCATTTCATTTCCTCAGTATATATCTGGCAAGTACTCTACCTTCAGAGATAAACTAAGGAGTCACAATGCTCAAAGCTAGACAACTTTTAAAGAGTGCTCTGAGCTCTTCCACCAGGTGGGTATCTGGTTATACAGGCTTGAAAAATCTGCCAGGCTAACTTTACTGTGACTGTAACAAAGAGTGTGGTAGAACTCGGGGATTTTATGCTGCCATTTGTCTTGGACATTAGGGTAGATTCAAAACAATTTACTGGGTGAATTTTTTATTAGGGCCTATCTTCAGCCATCCATAAGGTTAGATGGCCCCTTGAGGCAGTGTCCTTATTTAGCTTTTTTTTTTCTCCTTCTTCTCTCCAAAGCCCCCCGGTACATAGCTGTATATTTTAGTTGTAGGTCCTTCTAGTTATGGTATGTGGGATGCTGCTTCAGCATGGCTTGATGAGCGGCGCTAGGCATGCACCCAGGATCCGAACCAGCGAAACCCTGGACTGCCGAAGCAGAGTAAGCAAACTTAATCACTCGGCCACAGGGCCGGCCCCCTTATTTAGCTTTTCAGTTTGCAAATTAAGTCAATGCAACCTCAAACTTCACATTCTGTTAAAGCGTTAAGTATTGGTACGCACTTGGAGTAAAGAGCTTCACTCCTGGAACATGTCTATCACTGTTAGCAAACATTTAACAAAGTTCATCTGAGAAAAAAAAGACATTTAAAAACAATGACACACAATCCATTTTCCAGATTTCCTAAAATATGTGTTTAGCGCAAGTCAGACCCACAGAGAACCAGGTTCTGTGATCACACATATTGGGCTGCCCCAGTCCACAGAGTATTCCTGTAGTGCCCAGCACTCGGTGTGACACATGAGTCTGCAGGGCCACTTGTCACAGGAAACAGCTCTACAACAGTCTCCCCGCCCTGCCTGCAACTCAGGGTCAGTTTCACATGGACTCCTTGGAGAAATTCCTTGCAGGTTTTTGTAACCAGAATAGTTTTGCTTCTTTTGAGCAATGCGTTTATTTTTATCTCATTGTATAGTAAATTGGAAAATTAACTTTCCTTTTTTGTTGATCATTAGAAGGCCTAAAGACAAATTTAGTCTAACCAAAGGCAAATATGCACGTCACTGCAGGTTTTGTCCAGTCTCAATGACAAATTTTTGTCCAGTCTTCATTTTTAATGGTTCCATCCACGATTTTCATTCTTCTTGTGCTCCCTTTTGTAATTTAGATTTTCTTACATTTCATGTATTCTTAAGTGTTTTTAAAAGCTTTCTAGAATAGAGTCCACTGAAAATAAAAACGATCATCCACTGAAAGGATAACTTTAAGATATTTCCTTAATTTCTTTATCAGATTTGAATAGTGAAAGGTCTTAACCATAGTGAAGAAACTCCCTCTGCACCTTTCAAAGGGGAGTTGAAAATGACCCTTGCTCCGGCCAGATCTTTCTCAAACACACACGCTCAGTGCTGATACTGGCTTAACTTGACACTCCTTGGCTGCGCTGAGAACATCTTTCCTCATCAATGCCCTCGAAGTTCTGTGCAGATTAGACAATAAAATCTCTTACATATAACAAAGTACTGTCTTCTGTGTGTCAGCAGAGACTAATTTAACAAATTCATTAACACAGGATTAACACTGAAGAAGTTCTTCTTGTTCCAGGCAGGCTTGGGTTTCCATTTGTGAAGTGGGACAGGCTTGGATAACTGCGAAGTGGAATTAAGCATTCAGCTCCCTCTTAGAGCACCGTGCGCCCTATGAGCCCTCACTAAATACTCGTTGACTGACAAGAGAAGAGAGGGAGAGAGTAAAGGCACTGATTGGCTGAGAGAGAGGAGCTGTGGCATGAAACATTTACCCTGCTTATCTTCTGTGAGACTTATGCCAAAAAGCAAAAAGAAGAAAGGTAAGGAAGGATGCCAAGGAAGAGTTAAGAGGAGAAGAAAAGCTTACAAGCAGTCAGGAAGTGAAAGGCACTGCAAATTTCCACAGGCCCAATCTAACAGGGATTCAGCTTCAGAATCAAATGCTGACTCTTCGCTTCCCTTTGTTAGTTAATTCTCACCACAATCCTCAGTGATGGAAATTAACTCTATAAATAGATGAAGAAAACACAGGAGAAGTTAGCCAACTTTCCTAGATCATGTGGATGACCAACTGTAAGGCTGGAATCCTCCAGGGCCCAGCCACTACAGATTAAAATATTATTCAACCAAAAGCCACTGCATCAATACAAGTTAAAAACAAAAAAAGAAGTTACAAGATCAAAAGAAGTTAATCAACAAAAGTTAAAAACAAAGCCATGTAGGAAAGAACTCACCTGCTCAAAAACAAATATGGAATCTGATATTCTACTTAACTAGATATAATAAATAACAAACACGTATAAGCCAGTTTTATGATAGTCAACTTGTAGGAAGGGCCTGGCATGAGCGAACAGTTCAAGAATGGAGTGAAATAGAAAAGACTACTGGGAGAAATTGCACACACAGTCACAAATATACACAAAGACACATGAGGAAGAGAGGAGAGTAACACACAGTGACTATCTTTCAAGATTTACAATATTTGAAATTAGAAATATTAAGAATCCTTCCTAAAATTTAGAAACACCATATTTTTGACACCCTTAATTTTTCACTTCTAGTGGATTATGCCCAAACTTTCCAATTTGGAACATTAAAAAATATAGTTCTCCTTTCACTGAGTATCATCTTTAATTCCTAGCTTCTTAAAACACTGCATTTAAAAGGTTGTGAGGCCAACTATAGCTTTTTATTTAAAGGCACAAATGACTTGCTCCTCAAGAATAAATGCACAGGTGAAATGAGCCCAAACAATAGTCAACAAAAAGAACAAGTTCTAAAAAAGGTAACATTAATTGATAATTTTAAAAAAAGCTTATTAGAGACAATTACAGTCAGTTCTTTATATTGAGGTTATTATAAAATCAGAAAAGCAGGAGAAATGCGATTCTATATAATAAGACAAGTGGGATATAATTTCACCTTGGCAAGACTAACATCACACATTCCTCCAAATATTTTTAAAAAGTTCACTCATCAACTGGACAAATATTTACTAAATGCAGTGATATGTGCCAGGCACTGTTCTAGGAGCAGAGAACGTGGCAAGAAACAAAGGCAGAAAAAGCCGTGCACACGTGGAACTTACATTCTAGTATGCGGGAGAGAAACAACCAATAAGAGAAATGAATAAAGTATCTGGTATGTTAGAGGTCAAGTGCTGGGGAGAAAAATGAAGCAGACAGGGGAGATGGGGCGACTGCAGGGGGAGGGGTGGGAGGATT